ACACAAGACTCACTTTAGAAGTGAGGGAATGCAAGGACTTTTATTCTGCTTCTTCTTTGATGTGTGCTGATGGTGAGGTCTGGAGATGTCACTGCATATGGTTTCTCTGCCTTAATATATTGCCTTAAGACAAGAAAATGGTGATTGTGCTATTACTGATCCGTAACTCTGGCACTATTAATGATTTAGATTAGGAAGTTTTAAATAACATTCTTCTAATAAACTATAGAACTGTGTATTTTTGCAAAGGGTAGGCCAAAGAAATTTAAGTTATGTATTGCCCGTAGGCAAGTACATGATGCAGTACTGTATGTGATAATTACTGAATATTTAGTACATTTGAACACTATTTCATATTATTTGGGTAGTAAGTGTGATCAAATACAGGTTCTTACATAGAAGAATTTAATTGTGACTTCTGTACATTCCTTCACAGGGGTGAAATGTATCAGACCATTTAACACCTGGCTGCTGTCCAGGTGGTGGCATAGATGCATTTTAAATGTGTACACCCTAATTATGATGATAATAGTAATACTGGTTCCATGTAGGTGGAATATATACTGAAGTAGGACCAGGATTTCTACTGTGGTAGACAGTAGAAACACACTTTCTTCCCTTTTGTCAGAGAGTCTTAAAATTTAACTTGCAGGAAATGCAGCATGGGCAATGGCCACCTCCAAACCTGATATTCTCCTGATTCTTCTTCAGAAACTGATGGAAGAAGGAAATACGCTCTATAAAGTAGGTGGATTTTTCTTTTTTTGTGGCAGCAGAACATTGGACTTCTGCTTGAAGGTAGACTGAATGCCTTTATGCCTCCTTTTCAATTACATAATTTGATATATTACTAGTCTGTTTAAAACAGAGTGGTAATATATCAGATTATATTTTTTTTCTGGTACTAGTGGTACATATTAGTGCAAGTATTATCCTTGTCAAATACCATTAAACGTTTGAGTTCAGAAAGGGACACAAACTCTGATTAACATGCAGGCTCTCATTGTGCTTTTTCTGCCAGTGTAGTTCATACTGTGTATGTTTATTAGAAAATCTGTCTCTGTGTTTTCTACTTGAAGGGCATCTCTTGGTAGATGTCAAATATAAATATGCTTTTTGGCAACAGTATTGCAATATTAAAAGTTTGTGAAAAATCTCTTGTTCCTAAAATTTGCAGAAAGGCAAGATGAGGGAAGCAGCACAGCGTTATCAGTATGCATTGAGGAAGTTCCCAAGGGAAGGGTTTGGTGAGGAAATGAAAGCCTTCACTGAGCTGAGAGTTTCATTATACCTGAATTTGTCACGATGTCGCCGCAAAACAAATGTAAGCTCTTGCTGTTACTCTGCTGCCTCTCTGGCATTGGGAATCTGAGATTTATATCCTGCTGCATTGCTGGGGTTGTATGTGGACATCCATCTGTGGTATCTTAGAATCCTTTTCACTATATCCTGATTTTGGTCTTTATCATGTCAATAAATGGGTGGCTTATAAGATGAGGGCGTGTTTCCATGGGGGATCTATTACAGCTGGTCTTACATCATGCAGTTATTGTGGAATGACAAACTGCTGGATCTTTGCAGTACTTTTAAAAGACTGAATGGAAAACACTGCTACCTTTGTTATCAACCAGCACAACCAGATGCCATGGCTGTGCCCATGTGTGCTTTGAGCAAATACCTGCTCTTGCAGACTGGGGCAGGAGCCTCTGGCACGTGCGCTGGCTGCGCTCCTGGAGCCGGCGCACGACCCGCAGCTGGCAGCTTGCTTTGACTGGCGCTGTGTAACGAGTGTGTTTGATTCCTTTATTAGGATTTTGGAATGGCTGAAGAGTTTGCTACCAAAGCCTTGGATCTGAAGCCCAAGTGTTATGAAGCCTATTATGCCAGAGCGAGAGCCAAGAGGAACAGCAGGTGCTGTTTGATTCTGTGCATGTCTGCAGAGATTTTTTTTTTAACTTGCCATTTTTAATTACTTGTTCTTTTCTGCTAGTTACATTTCAAATTTGCAAAGAAAAAATTATTTTTTAGTGCACTTTGCATCTGTACTAGGTCTCTCTTATCAGATAAAGCCAACCACAGCCAAATAGTGATATTGAATGCTCTGTAAGTACTTACGAGGCAGTCCAGAAAGTAACAAATTCATTTGAAGATGGATTATTTTAAATATAACAGTGAATGGGTCTGCTGCTCCACATGACTCAGCAGAATGTGACCAGCAGCGTGCCACTCAACTTCATTATTTATTGCCAAGCTTATGATTTATTACTGGCTGCTTTGATAGGAAAGAATATGATGAATCGTTAGCAGTTGAAGACAAAAATAAGGGGAGAGAGGAGGAACTATCTCTTTAGGTTGAAAGAATAACAAACTGTAGTGGTGTAGCTGAAGTATGGGAAGAGGTGCCTTTTTGATTCACCATGTCTTTTCTAAACATATCAATAAATCATCATGAAGCAGAATTCAGCAGGTTACCTACTCTGGAGGTAACTCTGGAAGAGCTTGTGAGACAAAGTGTCAGTTCCTGGTGTTCCCAGCAGAGAGTTCTCCTGCCAGCCTGCATGGGGTGTCAGGGTACTTTAGGGAAGCATTCAGGGTTGGGTCTGCACTTCTACTCTAGTTAAGAATTTCCTAAGGTGGAGAATTTCCAGTTCTAATTTGTCACCACCTGCAGCAGGAAGCAACAATTCAGGACATTTTGCTGAAAGGGTGGAGGTGGATTAGTAGTAGGCAATGCTGGGACACAGATTTTCCCCAGTTTTTGTTGTTTACTTATTTCTTCCTAAACAGAAAACTACTTGCTGCTCTCTCTGACCTACGGGAAGCCACTCAGATATGCCCCAGCAATCAGGAGATAAAACGTCTGTTGGCTCGGGTGGAAGAGGAGTGCAAACAGTTCCAGAGAACACAGCAACAGAAGCATCAGTCTCCACAGCTACTTGAACAAACCAACAATTCTGATAATGAGGAGGAAGGAATTGTACCAGGTGTGAATGATAATTTTCATCTTCAGGACAGGGAAGATGAGCTGCCACACCCCAATGAATCTGTTTCTCCTCCACAAAGGCTGCAATGTTCCTCAGCTGCTTCATTATTTAGTAGGACCCTTCAAGAAGGTGTTCAGAAAGCTCAGTGTGTGTCTCCTCAAAGCAGAGCAAACAACAAGTACCTGAGAGAGCCAGGCTTGGTCATGCAGCCAACAAAGCAGGCACAGATTGTAAAAACTAATCAGCATCTGAGCTCCATCCAGCCTGGATCTAAACCAGGAAGCAGTCAATGTAGCACCAAACCACAATCATCTTTGCAGCATCTTCCCCACAGTCCCTTGCCCATCCGGCACTGTAGAAGTCAGCAGGTGGATGGGACAAGCACATTGTCATCTGGAAGCATTTCCACAGATCCTACTGCTGAACTGCTGCACAATGAGAAGTTTGTGTCCAGCCAGCATTCACATCCACAACATCATGAGACTCTGTCTTCTCGTTCTTTTCCTAGTAAATCTAAACCTGGTGACATGTCAACAGCCTCTGCTCCAATGAATTTCAGTGACTCAAGGCAGCAAAGCCCTGTACCCAGTGGTGGCTCTTGTGGCTCTCCATCCACTAGTGTGATTCTTGCCAGCTCATCAAGCAGCTTCACTTCAGCCAGCAGTTTGTCAGGCAGTATTAAGGGGTTGGGCCCAGATGTTCGACTCAAGGATACCAACACCAGTCAAGCTCAGGGCACTGAGCACAGACCTCGCAATACCCCATTTATGGGAATCATGGACAAGACTGCAAGGTTTCAGCAGCAAAACACACAATCTAGTCGCACTTGGCACTCTCAGGCAGCAGATGGATTATCCACAAACATTGTTTCTGCAGGCATTCAGCCCTCCAGCTTGGAGCAGTTCTCAGTTAAACACTACTCAGCTAAGGGATCCTCTACAGGTGCTGCCCTGGGCGATGGCAGCCAGAGCAGCATGCAAGCAAAAGAACAGGAGGAGCTCACGTGCCAAATCCCTCCCCACTGTACAGACAGCAGATCACCCAACCAAGGTTCCCATTCATACCCTGATGCTGTAGTCAGACTGCCATCCCACAGCACTCAGGATGGCCACCTCAGTCACGTCACCACAGCAAAACCAAAGCGATCGTTCATTGAATCAAATGTATAAATACTGTTCTGTACATTGCCAGGGCTCACAACATCACAGGGGCTGACTGCTCTACAAAACACTGACTGCCTCGGCATGGCTGGGTCCCTGGGAGCAGTCTTTAATGGGATACAACCACTTCCAACTGTTCCTACCATCACAGGGCAGTGACAGTAACTGGAATACGAAATTAGTGTAGAAAGACTCAATTAAGTTGGCCTAGGAGCTCAAGCAGAGAAATCATTTCCATTACATGTTACCATTAAATAAGCCTTTCCTTTCACATACGGCTTCAATCTTGGCTTTTGGTTCTCTTGTATCTCACACATAGTACTCGTGCCTCTCAAATGTCTCACAGCAGCACTTAGGGAGATAAATCTGCTGCACAATACTCAGATCTGTACATGCATGCATTTTTTAAAAATCAAATTATTTTATCACTTTTCTAGTGGGATCTAATTTGGGTTGCATGATGTACATTTAGGAAGCATAAATAATTTGTGTATGAGTAAACTATAAGCAGCCATGCTTTGACATGTAAATATAATTATTTTTAGTAAATAGAAGAAATTAAATAAAATGAGTGACATTTGCATGTGTATTGAGAGGCTTTGACCATATTGGTTATTGCACTGAAGAACACAATATTATGGCCTATTAACAGTAATCGCACTTTATATAGGGTATCTAATCACCTTTGGGTGCTATCTTAAAGCAAAATGATTGATTGTTTATTTGTGAAAAGGTACAACAACTAAATGCTTAGTAAATGTTTTTATGGGAAACCCAGGAAAGGGATGGAGTGAACCTGAAAGTTTGAAGAACAGAGTATGTGCAGTTGCATGACAGGATGAAGTCAAGACATTGGTTTTTTTAAGGAAATGAGGATTTTTATTGGCAAGAACAAGCTGAAAACAAGCTGCTGCAGTGACATTCCTATGCGTGCAATTCAGTTGGAGTGCTCAGCTTTATACTCTTCCCATCATGCTTGATTACAGTGTTCTGTGTACATTGTAAACAGCTGTACCCAGCTCTACACATCCTTTTGCAGTTTGTATCATTATACTTTAGCTTATTTATTGTTTACTGTTTCTTTGATATTTTGTACAAGTCCTATATTAGTCTTGTCCTGTAGTTCTATTTTTGCACAGCTACTGTACTCTTTCCATACAAAATAAAGATTATTAATATACCTGTGGGATATGATGCAGTCCCTGATGGTTACAGGAGAAACTCTCTCCCAGCTTTTCCAACTACGTGTCCAGTAATGAGGAACAGAGAAAGACAGACACAATTTGGTTTGTTAGAGTAGAAAAAGAAATACAGATCATATACTTTGCTATTTCTTACCTTCTGAAAGACTGACTTGGCAAGATGAAGACTCAAAACTCATAAATGTAGTAAAAATTATAAGAAAATTTTATTTGAAAAACTGACTTTGAGTACTTGATTCTTAAACAGAAATACCACAAAGTAAAATTACCAGGAACTTAAAGTTGTTCTGGGAGTTTCCACCAGTGAAGGTTGAAGCAGCCACAGATAGAAGAGAAGCACAAGTTTTTCTTTCCATTTGTTTCTGATACAATTAATTCCTCCAGCTGCATAAAATTTCAATTAATTTTAACAACCAACTTCAAAATTAAGTGGTTTAACTATTTCTGCTGAGTCTCTAGCCAGCGATTAATGGCCATTTTTAGTGTTCTGTTTGGTGTGAGCATAAGAGAGTGGAGAGGAAGATTCGTCATGGGACTAGATCGTCTATTGCTGATCCAATTTTCCATTGCTTCCCTTTCATAGGAATAGCCATCTGCAAAGACATCATCAACAAAAGCTCATATTACAGAGTCTTGGGCACTGTGGCACTGTGCAGATGTTAGCTGTTTAAATGTAAAAGGGAAGTAAGGAAATACATCCAAACAGGAAAATTGAGATCTAGAATAAGTACACTGTATGTGAAATCTTTACTGTGTATATAAACAGTTCTGGCTAGTTTCATGTATCTATCTCTGCCTGCAAAGCACCAAAATATATTATGCACAAGTTAAATAAGACTTTCTTTTCAGTTTGATCCATAATGTGAAGTAAAAGCTCATTACTATCAATTGCCTAACACAGCTAAAGCCCGCTGCTTTGCTGAACAGGGGGCTTGTCCACCTGGCTGACCCAGGCTCTCTCTGTACAGAGCCTTCACCCCCTGCCCAGTCACCCAGAAATATCTGTGATGGAATACAAACCCGGGCCCTATGCCCCTCCTCTTGTCTCCTTACTCCTTATTGAATAAAGCAACTCTCACTCCAGCAGTTGGCAAATGTCTTCATATTTTGGCCATTTTAATTCTCAGAAGTCTGCCCTAATACCTCAGAACTGGGTGAAGTTAGTTAATGTTTACAGAGCAACAAAAAAAATTATACTGATCTGCTGATGTTTATATGCACCTCCTTCCTTCTCCCCCCAACAACAGAACTATAAAAAAATAGTTCTTCATAAGATGTTTTAACTATGTAACATCTTACGCTGCTGGCATATCACAGTTCCAACGGCTGCTGCATTTAAAGGAGTCTCATTCTGTACAAACTTCTAAGTGCTCTGTAGATGGTGTGCTAAGCATAGAAATGAGCCTAGGGTTTTTTGGACTTTTTTTGTGGGAGGCTGGTTTGATTCGTTTGTTTACTTTTTGCCCCACTGAATGTACAATTCTATTTTGCACTTTCTGAACCAACACTGTAATTAGGCTTGTAATTATATTTACAAAGGCACATAAAGGGAGGCACATTAAGAAAAGGAAGAAGTTGCTTGTTAGAGTATTTTTCTCCATATCAGAGCTGTAATTCAGCAAATTAAATGTTTATCACAATTCTGGTTTGTTGCAACAGCTATTTAGAATAGTTTATCTTTCTAGGTCTGATGTTCAAAAAGGTGTAGGAACACAAAAAATGGGCCTATCTTTACCCTCAAGTAATTAGTTTTAATCCATGCCATGTAAAGACATACCTGTGGCAATGACAGGATCTTTCATAAGCTCTCTTGTTATAGGACATAGGAACTCATCAGGAACAGAAACTGAGATTGTTGTCATCCTCAGTTCTTCAATTTTCTGGAGAACTTTACTACGCAGGCCTAGAGACTCTGAAAAATTATTTGTACATGAAGTGGACAGCACAGACAGGTAAGGCAAAGAGTCTTGGAATAGTCAGCACACCTGTGTTACAGGAGACATAGCTCCATCTCACCACCCCCTAGACCAAAAGCCTGCAGTCAGCCCTGGCTCCCACTCCAGTCAGCTCTGGCACAGGTTCTCTCTGCTGCTGTGCAACAGGAACTTCAGGTAATAATGAAAACAATCAGTAAAACCAGTGCAAGTGCAGCAGAGCCATGGCAGAGCAGTGGCCTGGTGGCCATGCAGTTGACTCACACAGTGCGAGTGCAGCGCTGCCCTGCAGCCACACCCTGCCACGGGACACTGCGGGGCTGGCCCTTGGCAGGGACAAAGCAGTGCCAGTGCCAAGGTACAGCTGTGCACAGGTGCTGCCAGCACCTCCAACAGACTGGATTTCCTTTCACCTTCATGCTGGCATTCAACACCCCTGGTCATACCCACCTGTGATACTCTACATCTGCTGTCTGGGGCTTACAAAGGCACAAGTGAAAGGTGCCCAAGCCTCTGGTTTTTAAAAGAACACTGATGTCCTCCAAACTGCAAAGACTGTGAAAAACTTCTAGAGGTCTTTAGCAAGTTCTTACAGTCTCAGAGGAAAGAAAATAGGTTATCAAGGAGAGAAAGGACATGCTCATTCAAGCATTTGTATGGTGGTAGACAACTAAAATTTAGTTAAACAGGAATTGAGTAACATAGAAAATGTTCATTTTAGGCAAATAGTATTTTCCTACTTCGTAAATACTTGAGCTAGGGCAGATAGCAATTTTTCAAGTCAGATATATGAGGCCATAATTTCTATACCTTTGTTGATTTCTTTCCCCACAGAGTACTCTCTTTGTAGCAAGTCATACTACATTCAATTCTCACAGAACTTTCTAGTCAGCGTTATGTGATTAGCCTCAGCTGGTAATTGCTGCAACAAAGTTCTAGGCTACTTCAATGCTAAGGAAAATGTTTGCATAAACTGAGGAAACCAAGTGTCTTACATGGATGACAATTCCTGACAGATTCCCAGCATTTCTGTTATTTCTAGATTTCAACAAAGCCAGCCCTTACACAGAGATAATATGATCCAATATAGACCAATTCCACACACACACAAAAAGGAAGGGAGCAGTCTTCCTACAATGAACAATATCCAACTGCACTTTTTAAAAGATTTCTTACCTCATGCAGCCTTTTGTTATACTTTACCTCAGTTTAACACATGTATTAGCACCTAATCTACATCTAAATCTGACCATCAAAATTAATAGAGAACTTGTATTTTGAAGTCCCAGTGCAGGTTACTATCTTTAAACTTCTTATTTCATAATGACCACTGTGGAATCATTACTAATGTGGTGCTTCCTTTTGATTCCTTCTAAAATGTAATCACAGTTTTGCAATAAAACAATAGGACAGTTTAGGAACCTGATGTATTAAAAATTGTCTGAGCCAGGCAAACTTTGCTTGGTCCTTACCAAAAGTCATCAGCAAATGCACACATAGGAATTTCACTGTTTGACTCAAGGTTGGTGAACACCCACAATTCTAAATATGGCACTTCTGCAGACTGATAGGAAAAACTATAGACCATCCTATTTACCAAAGTGAGAAACATGAATTATAAGAAAAGCTGAAATTCCTTTTCCACAGCTTAGCAATACAAGATCGAACAATGAAAATAGAAACAAAACCAGGTAAGACCATTTAACAGCATCATTAGTGGAAGTGAAGTAGAAGTATGTCTCCAGGTATGAGCACACACAAAACACACAAAATGAATACTGTGGACAATGTAACATAAGGGGGTTTTTACCAGCCCTGGAAATGAAATAAAAAAGCCATTTCAGGGGGGAAAAAAGTCTATGTATGGAACTCCTAACTTGCTTTCATTCCAACATTTCAAAGTACTCTAGAGATTAAAAAACTATTTGGATTTCAATACTCTTACCAATTTTTAATTCCTTAGCAAGACTTTCCTTAGTAAGATTCAGTAGTTCCTTGCCATCAATATTATTAATTTTGAAAAGTTCAACGAAGTCTGCTAAATTCTGTGCACAGAGCCAGGCTGAAACATCATCCTCTGACCAGTCCTCAACAGCTGCCTTTGATTCATTTTCTACAGTACGTCCTTTGAAAATGAAAAAAGTTTAAAAACAATACAAAAAACTGAATTAAACCAAACAACATCATCCCCCCTCCCCCACAAAAAAAAACTCACCACAACCCCCCAAAAGCAAACAACAATGAAATTCTCAGGTCAAATAAACAATGTCATTAATAGATCCTGTTTTTAAGTGTTCTCAGAACTATACATTCTTCAACTAAGAAAATAAATGTTTCTTAGACATTCCTTTGTGAGGGAGGGCAGTAATTTGGGTTTATTGTTTACCTATCAATTTTCAAAGTTTAGAGGAATTTAATCTCTTAGATGCCTACACTTCTGTCAAATTGGAATTGAACAAACAACCAGAAAAGTGCTAGCAGACACTGGAATCATCTTGCACGTCCTTAGAAGGCACACCAAAATCCAGACTTACTGCTGTGCTTTGAACAATATGTACCTTTGTTCCACAAACTTTAGGTGCTGGTCTAATTTGTACATTAGTTATCCTATATTAATGGCACTAATGTCATTTGCACAATTAGTTTTCACCTCTAACGACTGGTAAGGTGCAATTCTAATTGACAATTACACTTGCAATTAGCATATTTTCAACCCGTCACAAATTATGTGTGTCCAAGAAGTCTTTCAACACTCTGGCAATAACATTCATCTCTTAAATTCTATCCAAAGAATAAGCAATTGCAAATTTCAGAAAAATTGATATAGCAAAATAATAAAATTAAGATATGTCTAGTATATTTTTCTTTACAAAATAATAAAAAGAGAATACCTCTTCTGGGCATTAATCAGGTTAATTAGAAGATAAAAAGCATGCACACAATCCTGATGTTGCACAGTAAGTGCAGGTAAGAATGAGGGATTTTTACATCTTCAGAAGGTGTTTTGAGTTTAGAAAAACAGAGTTCAAATACTTCACACACTGACCTGCACAGGGTTGCTTAAGGTCAAGCTGCCATATGTGCACAGTTTTATCCATTGAGCCTGTGGCAAGTAAGGGACTACATGGTGCGAAAGCACAAGTTGTAACATATCTACAAATTAAAAAAAAGTCTGAAAATTCATTAGAAAAGGATTTCTTTTATTTATTAAACAGAATAATCATGCTGATTTCTTACCTTGTATGCTGAGACAAAGTATGAAGGGTATTGCCAGTACTCTGTAAAAGAGTTTTTGTGATTTTAAATTGTAAAGAATAAAAAAGTGTTTCTTCAATTGTTTGTTTCCTTTCAAAATAGGGACTATTGCTTCTTGAAAAGTGACAGAAGGTAACCTCAGAGAGGTTACACTACCTTGACAAAGCCGATCAGCAGCAGAGTCAGAAATGCAACTTGAATTTCCTGCTTTAAGGCTCTATTTGATTCCCTGGAGTACTGTTCACCTGCACAATCAGCCAGCATGGAACACGCAGGGAGAAGAGTGCTGGAAACACTGACTGAATTCAATCTATATTCGCTGGTCGGTTGTGTAGATAAAGACATTTCTTCTACCAATCTTGTATTAGAAATTACCAAAAGGGTCATTGTGGGAGTCAATCCACAAGCCTTCAACTGGACCAATAATTAACCACACCTATTTGGCCTATTCTCTATTTGGCCACTAAATACTAACTAAAAAATGAAATTCCTGAATTTTGGCAGTTTTAACTTATTATGGAAAGATTTTCCCTCCTACAAAAAATAGCATTTCTTTGACAGGTATAGACAGATTGGAAAGATGATGAGCAAAATTATTCTGAATCACTAATTGATCAGCCAGCACTCCAGTATTTTGAGCTGTCCAACATGACCCAAGTTCCCTAATATAGGTTGAAATCTCTCTCCCTCCCACAAAGGTTTATTGTCCCTACTTTTCCCCACAGAATCACAGGATGGTTGGGGACCTCTGAGATCATATAGTCTAACTCCCCCTGCTAAAGTAGCATCATCTAGAGCAGGTGTCCAGGCAGGTTTTGAGTATCTCCAAAGGAGAATTTCAGAACTAGAAAATTTATTGTCCCATTTGATAAAAACCTAAGGCCACAAAAGTTGATGAACAGTATTAAGAAATATTTAGGCTGCAGTTTCCTTCATCTTCCAATTTTCTGAGGCTCCTGAACTCTAGAGGACATTTTACATACCTGTCTAAACCTCAAACTACTAAAATAGCTGGGCCAAAACCTTTGCAGGTATTGTATAAGTGATTTTGGTGAAAAACTTTAATGCTTATTTAAAAATTGAATTAATACAATAAGTATGTGCAGAGTAAGCTGAAGAAGTTTAAAATTTGTTCATCCTTCATTTTCAGCAAAATTATTGTTTTTAATACTATAAAGTACTAAAGGTATATATACCACTTATAGGTGAATCATAAAGGAGATAACAATGTTATTACAGAAAATGCGTAAATAATAGGTTTTTAAGACATGGTACTTAATGTAAACATTTTCTTGAATTCTTTATTATGCTTCTATTTTATGTGCACTTTACATATAACTAACTACAGAATGTCTATGTTCACCATTCCTGATTTTATGTGAAAAGGTACAGTCTTCCTTGCTTTGGAAGCTAAGCTAAAGTTAGGATAAGAAAAAATCCTTTCACTTCAATCTGATTCTTGTAATACTCGTAAATAAGGAATTAATTAACACCCTACTGCAGAGAAATCAACTGACAAATCCTCACAATGTAAATAAAAAGTGAGAAAGACTGATCAATTCTCAAGAGATATTTTTCCTTAGACTCCTTCCCCTCCTGCCCCCAAATGCACAGTAAGCATTTTGGCTTATTATCATTTGCATTCTTTAGCATTTTTTCATTGAAATGACACTGCAGAAGCAGTGCTTATATTTAAACACCCCAACAAATGATCCTGTATTGTGCTATACTTACAGTTTCATAGATTATGACGCACTTGTCCACAGACCTTAAAAAAATACATTGACATTAAAGTGATGCAGAGAAGGAAAAGGTAAGTGTTTCATTAACCTTTTCCACAACCCGAGATTTCAAACTCAATCACCTACAGACTGATTGTAAAGATACTTCAACATCTCTAGAGGTCACAGAACTGTTCCTTAATTATTGATAATAAATATTTAAAAATCTTTAACTCTTTTGACCTTTCTGTTATAGAATATTGAAGCGTGAACCTGGACAGCCTGATATTTCAACAAGGTGCTGCTTACCCCGAGGCTATCATCTGTCCGTCACATGAAAATGCACAAGCCAGAACTGGGGCAGAGTGCCCATTCAGTGTGCATTTATATTTTAACTGAACACCTAGAAATACAAAAAGTATATTATTACATATGGCTATATTTGACAAGGTATAACACAAGCTGCTTTAAGAAGCCCAAAGCTCCACCAAAGATGTGACTCTGTGACATACTGTTTACAAAACAGGGGATAAAAAGATCACAGAGACAACTTCCCCTTTTAATATCTCCAACTTTACTACTTTGTAGTCTTAACATGTCTCACAAGGTTTTAGATAATTAAATGCGTATTTGGATACACAGTATTAATCCTTACACACTTTTATATGAAGGAGATAACAAAAAAGTAACCACTGAAGATATTTTTGGCAATTTACTTAGTCTCCACATTATAGTTTCTGCAGGAGCCTACATTCTGTTCCCCAGCTCTTATTCAAGGCCCAGGATATACTGAAACATTAAAAAAAACCACTCCCTAGCCAGGCAGATTAAAATGTTTCAATCTATCAACCTGTTGAAAGGCCACAGTAGAATTAAAGAAAAATCTTTACTTTCAATACTTGTTGATAAATAGATTGCTAAATAAAATCTACATGGCACAGCATCACAAAGTGCTGAACGCCTTAGCTGTTCTCTAGCTAATAATTAAAAGAAATCTTTCAACTTGTGGTTAGTTTGGCTGTGAATCCAGTAGTGTAAATTTGATTTTTGGTTTAAATTGTTACTAAAGACCTAAGACATTGGTATATTCAAAAAACATTTCTATACAAACCTAAGAAATCTGCAAACAAAATAAGCCAGAGTTTGATATGATTATCTTGTCCACAGGAAGCCATCTGGAAGTATTTGAATCCATTTTCACTATCTGATAAAATTAAAATATATAAATGGGAGTCAGGAACATTGAAAATAACAGCAGATCAGTAAACTACATCAGCATAAAAATCATTGCAGAAGTTCTAAAACAGTTTGGATGAAAGAAATAGGTATCATTATACTCTTTTCTGAAGAAGTATATTAAGACCAAAGCTGTGCTCATGTTTTAAGTTTTCTTGGTGGGAAATGTTTGAATCCTCTGATTATACTGCTAGAGTCTTTAAATCTAAATTATATGGTTATATCCAGTTCTGCAATTCTCAAAATTAACCACATACACATGTACAAAATTTGAGAGTATCTGATGGGGAATTTTCATACTTTTACACATTCAACTTTTCACTTTTATAAACTGACATTTTATGACTGCAGTCCAGCCAAACACCCAGTAAATACTGCATTAAGTGTGAAATACAACAATAATAGTTTTATAGCTTTCCCTTCTTTATTCAGTGGCTACAAACATTTCTGAATTATCATGTTCCACAAGTGGACTGCTTGATGCATAAGAAAGTGTTTGGATGGTTACAACCTGAGGGTAGTAGTCATTGGCCCAGAGTCCCAATGGACTAGTGGTGTCCCTCAGGGTTCTGCATTTGGAACAGCGCTATTTAATATCTTCAATAAGATATTAAACAGGCAACAGGAATGAGGCAAGTGCACCCTCAGAAAATTTGCAGATGACATCAAGCTGAGTGGTGCAGGTGACACAAGAAGGACAAGGATCTGGTAGGACCCCAAAGGGACCTGGACAAGCTTGAGTGCTGGTCCATGGGAACCTCAGGTGCTGGTGTGCCAACCGGATTGGGACAACCTCCAGTAACAATCCAGGCTGGGGGGTGAACAGGGTGGAGAGCAGCCCTGCCAAGAAGGATTTGGGGGTGCTGGTGGCTGAGAGCCTGTGAACATTGCACCACTTGCCAGGTTCAGTTCCAGCTTCACCTCGGCCTTCCTCATCCCCTCCCTACACAATCGTTATTCATCTCTATACTTTCCCCAGGTTGCACATATTTGTTCCCACTGCCTGTGCACTTGCTTCTTGCCTTTTAGTTTGACCAGCAGTTCTTGACTCAGCCATGCAAGTCTCTTGCCCTCCTTGCGCAGTTTCTGGCTCCTGGGGACCACTGACTCTAGCACTCAGTAGAAGACTTTCCTAAAGATCTGCAAACTCTTGTTTGCATGTTCCATTCCCTTGTTCCTGAGGGCAGTCTCCCAGGGGATCCCACTGACATCCTCTCTGAAGAGCTGGAAGTCTGCCTTCCTAAATTTCAGGAGCCTGCCTCTATTCCTTACCTGACCTATATTCCTTAAGATGGTAAACTCCACCACAATTGCTTTAGATCCCATGAGCTCCTAGGCAACTGTGACTGAATCCACTTCAAAGGCAGAGGAACCATCTGTTACAGCCTAAAGCACAAAGAACCTATCAGACACTCTGGATCCAAACTTGCTCTAAATTAAGCAGGTAAAGAGAGTCTCAATTTAAAACTATCTCTAATTGTACTGGATAAGCACTACTTGTATGCATTTCATAATGCGTTAAATCTGCCAAAAATCCCAGAAGGTTCAACCATTGATGATTAAACACAAAAGAAAATATGTTGACTTTCAATAACATATAGATTAAAAAAATCAAGAATTATCATAAATCAGCCAGAACAAATCCACAGTGCAGGAAATACCTGCTTGGTTGCCTGTTGCCTTCTTGGCAGAAGGCAGTAATTTTTAAACCAAGAGAATAATCTCAATATGAAATGGAGTGGTGGAAATTACACTCCAATCTGTTTCAGCTGCAAGATATTTTTTGCCCTCAGAGGCAACTCTTAGTTCACGATAGAGTTTTTTGGGTAGTATTTTCACCAAGGAAGATCCTACACCTTTCGAGGGCACATATTTGTTTGATTTGGTACTGCCAATCACTAATTCTCTGTTCTAAAGTGTATGTTCACATCCTTCTTCCTCAGGTTCCTCCTGCTTTCTTCCCCACTGCTTTTCTCCTGTTTTCTTCCTGCTCTGCACCACCTCCTTAGACAGGGTGGAACACAGAGCACAGTACTTATTGCCAGGTTCAGCACTTGAAGATGCAAGTGGCTGCTCAGTTAGAACTTTTGGGGCCTTTGAAAGGGCAGCTTGTGTATTCTGAATACAAAAGCATAAATACGTCTATGAAGATCACTTTGTCTCAATAGTAGATCTGGAAAGCACAAAAGTATACACACAAGGTTGTTAAGTCAAGTTGCTGCATTACTTCCTAAAGCTGACAAAGAGGCTTCTTCCCAATTTCCTAACCTCCATTAGAAGCAAATGACAGTGTGATCAAATGCTAAAACAGCTCCAAGAATTTTGAACATCTTAGTGGAATGCAGGAGATTCTGGGCTCATTACTCCTCCAAATTCCTCTAAATGACAAAGTCAGGTGCAGGAAAATAGCCTATCTGTTCATATTCCACAGTTCAAGCATTTAGCTTATTAGGTTTACAGCTCTCTGCATTGTTTTAATCCAGTCCTGCTCCTTGGGAACCAAAGTATAAAAGAGTCAAGTGGGAATGGCAATCAAATACTGAATCTCCTAACACCCTTTCTGCCATGGGGGTTATTAGCTACTCAAAGTTATCACCTGGTTTGTTAACCTAGTACATTCCTTGCCACCAACCTGACCACAACCTTTACTTAAGAATATTCAGAATATTCCAAAACATCAGCTCTTCACAAGGTCATTTGTATCTTGAGCACCAATGGCAAAAAGAATATGAAAACAAGACCTAGGGAGAAATAAATAACTCTTTTTTAAAATGTTCCTCATTTGATGAGTTGAAGAACTAACCAGATACTGGATGTGAAGAAATATCACAGCAGGTAACGCCAAGATCATGTGCTTTTTCATTATACAGGCATCTCATTTTATCATCCCAAATGGTTAAATCACCACTTGATGATCCAGTGACAAAGAAGTTTCCATTGGGAGAAAATGCACAAGCCATCAAAGAACCACCTTTAACATTCCCAGATCTGAAAAGCAAGAGTACACAGGATTTGAATTTCGAGTAGGTAAAGTTCTACAAAGTGACCTCTCAAATGCAGTCTGATGCAATAAGCCAAACTCTTCTAAGGATTGCACTTTGGAACTAGCTAACAGAGGAAAGAGAAACTCAAACCAGCTATGAAAAGAGATCAAAATAAGCTCTGCAGCAGGGACCAGACCAGCTCTTTGACAGAAGGAGGAAAAACATGAGATGGAGGCCCAAGGCAATAATTTTAACAGAGTGATAAAATAATTTTTAAACTAAAGACAATTTGCAGGGATTTAACACTTAAAAGGCACAATGCACTGTTAGAATTCTATGGCAGGATACATTTTACAAGTCAAAGATAAATATACAACTATAACACAGATTTACATGTGCACAAACAAGGGGAAAAAAGACTGACTATTCTTCTGGTTTTAGAGACAAAAGAGAACAACTACTAGCCCATATGATAAGCTGTAGCTGAGTAGAACACTTTGTGATTATTGATGTAGGACTAATTTTGCACCACTTGTACACAAGAGAAAGCAATGTGGAAAAAAAATTTTCTGTATTTTAATTAAGTCAGCCGAAGCACTTTGGAAAACTGATCTTCTGTTGTTCTAGGACACAAAATAAAATGACACACACACTGGAACCTCCAAGGCAAAAAAAAGAGAAGTTTAATTTCTGACTCCAACATTTATAGATTGTCAAAAGTAACAGTGGATTGGAGGATGACAGTGACACCTCTCCAACGACACTAGACAAACTAACAGTGCATCAAATTTCTCCTCCTCCAGAAAAGAATGTAAAAACAGTAATTATTTACATAAAGTGCATGAGAAAGTTTGTTACAAAAATGTAAACATTAGAAGGCGTAGAAGAACTTTGAAGAACAGGGTGACAATCTTCAAAGAAAATTTCTAGCAGATACGGAAGTGTGGTCAACCCTCAGGAAGGAAGTGGGGTCAACCTGACATCATTTATATTATCTGATAACCTAAAGTTAACTGAAAGAGCCTCACTCCTTTTAATGGACACCAGATCCAGCCAAGCTGAGTCTTTAAGTGCAGGGAGAAAATCACAGCCATGACAAACAGTCACGTGACAAGAAATGTCAGTCCTACTTACTCTGTCATCGTACTTTGTAGAACAGCTGCTAATGCTTTTTTACTGACTGGCAGAAATTTTATTTACTGCCAGAGGTGTCAAACTTAATGTCACAGAAGACAAGTCAATTAAATTTTCCTCAGTGCCACACTAACCAGACCCATGACCTTCTAAAAAGCATTGTCTCCCTTAATTCTTTTATTAAGAATACTATCAAATCCACTACAGTGCTTCCCATTTTTATATGCACAACCTTTTTTCTTTAGTGTAGCTTTTTCCAAATTTCCTTCTTTCACACAAAAAGTTGCAGATTCTGCTCTGAAAGCAACAGTAAAATAAATAGCATGGTGCATGCATTTAAAATTTGCAGGCTAAATGCCAGTTTTGCAACTTACTACTGAAAAGGAAACAGAGACCAGTAAAAATACATGAGTCAACTTGCTTTCCTGTTGTTCACATCCACCGTAGAACTTATTTAAATAACCACCTTACTTCACAATCTGAACTGTTCAATTACAACAGCTGAGTAGATAAGGGGCAAATTTTATGTAATTTTATTATAAGTACCATCCATATATTTAGTCCAGTGACAAAACAGTGCAGTAAAATGTTTTCTCATTTTCAGCATCAACACAATCAACTGTTTCAAAAGAAACAGAGGACCACAGATTGACATTACATGGTTAACTAACTTCCTCTGACATAATTTTTAAGTACTTTGATAATTTCTATGTTATACTGATTTCAACTATTAAAAATAGGACATGTGCATTTTTCTACCTGCAATTACAAATCACAATAAAAATATTCATCAGCTGAAAATACATACACACATACACATCCCAAAATAGACATAAAGTTAAGTTGACTGCTGCTGGCCTGTTAACACCCTGAAATGAATTTTAATAGTTGAAGGGGACAGAATCGTAATGTTCAAGTTTTTTCTTATTTCTCTACAACGAAAACACCAAAGCAGAATAATTTTTGCTTATAATAACATTATAGTTTCTAAGTAGTCATTATACATCCACCACTCAACTAGAAGAAAATTAGGATGTAGGTCTAAAACATGCATCACTGCATGTATTAAAAGCATATAATTGTAAGAAATGTTGTTTTCATATTTCTGGGTTTTTCCCTTCAGCAACAAGCATTCTGAATTTTAAAAAAAATTATCTCTTCACTACTAATGTCTCAAAACAAATAAACCCTCAGATTTCAGAATACTAATGACTGAATTTTCCAATTTTTCTGAAAGATAAAACTAGGAAAAAACAGGTTATCAGTACCTCTTTACTATCAGAAATCACTTCAGTGTTTCTTTATGTATTACAAAAAAAGTGGTGGCAAAAATCTTGGACAATTTATGGACAAACTTCCAGATTTACACAATTTCAAGTAACTATAATCAATCATTTTGTAAAACTGTACAGTTCCCACATAAATCACCGCTGTGGAAGGCAAGGAGGACACAAAACGAGGGACATGCTTGACGGGGGACTTACCAACATCAAACAATTCTGTCTTTCAGAAACAGCTGCTCCCTCAATCCGAGTGAAACATCAATTTGCTCAAAATCTTAACTACTTTTCTAACTTTAGAGAGTTATTTAGTTGTGTAATAAGCCCTAAAACCTAAATAATGTCTTGTCCAAATACAGATTACAACAACTGGCCTAAAGAATTCACTGAAAGACAGAGATGTAGAGGAGGACTCTGAAGATAGCTCTAAGGTTCATGCCTTTAACTATGCAACACCAGTAAATATGCTCATCTGCTTTGTTTCAAATGTTTCCAAGAAACATATGTGAAGTGTTGACTGTCATGCTTAACTTATTTGGCACCAATACTTCTTTCACTAACACTTTTTAAAATATACAGTTTCAGGACAGGTCCATAGTTTCCAAACTCTGGTTGCTGCAAGCTTCTAAGACCTTCCTGGACTCCAAACTCCTAGCAATTAAGCATTCAATTTACACTACTATGTGTAATGCAATATAAAGCACACAGTACTGTCAGCATCCACTAACTCTGTATTATGTACCACAGTTTGCTGACCCACTGTTCAGAAACTAGATGCATACAGTGTGTAATGCATCCTGATCTCATGTTAAATCAATGAAATGAACTTTAAAAAAACAGGATTTAGATGTATGATAACTTTGTAAAAATTACAGCTTGAGTTCTTATTGTTTAACTTAAAAAACCAAAAAGCTACTCAGCACTTTTCTCTCTCCTATTGATAATCTTTTGGTCATCTAAATCCTATCCCCGTTTCTTTGTGATATCCATCAGCGGTGTCAAGTCTGCATATCTTGTACACAGTGCAGCATACTGCTTGAACTATATTCACCTCAAAACAAAATATTTGTCAAAAAATGTCTGGCACTCACCGGTAGAGTTTCATGGACTGCACGTTCCAAAGAACCACGCTGCCGTCCGCTGCCCCTGCCAGCAGATAGGCGGCCTCAGGCGAGAAGCGGCAGACGCGGACGGGGCTGGCGCCGGGCTGCTGCAGCACGGCCAGCCTGCGGCCGTCGCGGGTGTCCCAGAGCGCCGAGGTGCCGTCCGTGGAGCACGAGGCCAGCACCAGTCCCGACGGCGAGAAGCAGCAGCAGTGCACGGCGTACGCGTGGCCCTCCAAAGGCGAGTACGGGAGCTCCGCGAAGTTGCTCAAAGAATAAACACGAATTGTTTTGTCCAAGGAACAAGTAGCCAAGTACGATGATGAGAAGGCACAGTAATTGACATCATCACTATGATCCGCTAAAGTGTGAATTAATGTTGCCATTTGAAAAAATAAAAAAATCTGAAAAAGAGTTTAACAGACTTAATTTTCCTGTTTCGTAAATGAAACATACTACCTTAGCAAGACACATTCTGAAGGAAAAAAAAAAAAAAGAAATAAAAACTCATTTGCAAAGTACAATTTTCACCTAGCATTGTTTACGCAGAGAATCATAAAATCACAGACTAGTTTGGATTGAAAGGGACCTTAAAGCCCATGCAGTTTCACCCCCTGCCATAGGCAGGGACACCTTCCAGTATCCCAGGTTGCTCCAAGCCACATCCAGCCTGGCCTTGAATGCTTCCAGGTATGGGGCAGCCACAGCTTCTCTGGACACCCTGTGCCAGGGCTTCACTAGCCTCATAGCCCAGAACGTCTTCCTAATCCCTCATCTAAACCTACTCTCAGTTTAAATCCATCCCCCTTTCTACCACTACATGCCCCTGTCAAAAGACCTTCTCCGGCCTTTTTGTGGCTGGAGCACTTTCCAGTGAAGACCAAGACAAAACAGTCATTGAGTACCTCAGCCTTCTCCACGTCTTGGGTAGCCAGGTCTCCTGTTTCCTTCCAGAGGGGGCCCACATTTCTCCTAATCTTCCTTTTATCACCAAGATATCTATTAAAGCTTTTCTTGTTGCCCCTGACATCCCTGGCTGGATTTAATTCCATCAGGACTTTAGCCTTCCTGACCTAATCCCTGACTGCTCAAAAATTCTCTCTGTAGTCCTCCCAGTCTACCTGCCCTTGCCTGCTGAATCTTTTCCTTTTTGTTTGAATTTGTCCAAGAGCTCCCTTCTGCTTACTTTCACAGATAGCAACAGTAGTGATGGCAAAACAGTGGTGCAATACCACATACTTGTGTTGCCAATTCAAAGTTTGACCAGACTGACTAAAACATTAAAGTCAAAATGTGAATATTAATTGGCTGATCCGCATTGGAACCTCTCCAGAAATTGCATTTGCTGCTACACAGAACAACAAAAGGCAATGTGAACTTCACACGCATTTCCCCAGGATGTAACACTGCTAGAATCAGTTTAAATTGTATCAGATGAGTGATTTATACGGCTGAGGTCCACAAAATCCCCAGAGAGGTACATTCCAACCTGTTACTCCCCATGCTGCAGATCACAGACAAGTTTCCTGAGAATAAATGCACAGAGCCAAAATGAAGTGCCTACAGCTCTTATAAGCTGTTTATAATGAAAAAAAACAGTAATACTATTTATATTGAGTTAACTTATATAATAGTCTGCTGTTTTAGATAAGTGTTTCATTCTGAATAATAATTTCAGTGCTGAGGCATCTGTGACCAAAACCATATATACTCACACATTTCCTTTTTTTTTTACATAGAAACATACACACAAATATATTTATATGTGTGTAGACATGTAAGTATGTACAAATGTATACACACATATGCAGAGGCATGTACATATACACACAGACACAAAGGTACAAATGTAAGGGCAAAATACTTGTTCTCTTCAGACAGTGTATGGCACACCGATTTAGTTAAAAACAAGACCATTGAATACTACCTACTTTAGCTTCAGGATGCTCAGTTTTACTACCACTCTCTTTAAAACCATTAAACAAATTATGTAGTATCAATAACATATCTTAGCTGCAGAAAGAAAATAAACATACTTTTTTTCAACTACGAGAAACCGAAGAGTCAGAGAAAGCTTAACATCTGGAAAGATGAGCTGAAAAAGGCACCTTAATCTCACTGTCAGGAGACTTCCAGGAGCTCACTGCAGAAAAGCAAACCTAAGAACAAGAAGTTTCTGTATCAATAAATCGACTGAGGGAGCTAGGAGCAGCGGGAGCATTCGTCACCAGAGAGATGTTCAGCACCACAGCATCATCTCTCTGGCAATTACGTATTTTTTCTCACAAACCAGCAGCACCGGCCCACAGAAAGAGCTACAGCAATTCTCGACACAGCTGGCAGCCCCTTCCCTATTGCTCTCTCCCGCAGCCTAGCCCCACCCAACCCATCGCGCCGGCAGCGCGGCCGGGACGCGCTCGGAAGGTCGGCGGAGTCAGCCCGAGCTCCAGTGGCACCTGTCGGGTAAACAAGACCCTGTCCCGGCTGCGCGGGGCGCCGCGGCCACCAGGCACGGCCCCGGCCACCAGGCACGGCCCCCGGCCGGCGTGAGCCTCCCGGCGTGGTGAAGTCCGGGCCGACTCGCCCCGCTGCGGGCCGCGCCACCGCGCGCCGGCCGCGGGGGGAGTCGGCGCTGCATTTCCCGCTCTCACCGCCGCCATTGGTGCCGGCCCCGAGGCAGCGCGGGCGCGGATCGTGCGACCTTCAGCCCTGCGCGCCCTCAGCTCCGGCCCGGAGCCGCACAGCGGCCGCCGGCGCCATGGCCGCCTTGGCACGAACCCTGCGTGGGCGCAGGCGGTGCCAGCGCCGGTGGGATGGCGGCGGGGCCGGATGCTATCCCGGCCACTGCCGCGCCCTCACAGCGGAGCACTGCCGGGCGCCAGCCGTGTCCGAGCGGGCAGCGGGGCACGCTGTGCGGCTGAGATCGACACGGTGACCGCCTCAGCCCGGCCTCAGCCCGCCGCAGGCGCGGCCCTCGAGCAGAGCGAAGGGAAGTTCCAACAGTGCTCCCCCCGGCCCAGCAGCCGTCAGGTAACTTACACCATCGCCCTCTCCCCCCTGCACGTGCACGTTCAGCAACGCACACATAATAAATGGCTTAGTCGACACCTACAGGTTTTGAGGAAGACGAAGTCACTTCCTCGGAGTCACTGTGTCCATGAAGCATTCCCTAAATGGTCGGCCTTCCGTGTTTAGTCTGTACCAGCTCACGCTCTGTTTTATAGCACTTCATTTGATTGCACACTCTGTGATCCATGGCTGAAGCCTGGCCTTTCATTGTTCTGAATTCTAGGTGACAACCACTATTAAAAAGAAGGCTTTAGACCTCCTTTTAAAGATACATAGTTTGATTTTCAGCTGCTTTTTTATCATCCCATCTTTTCCAAACAGATAAAAGAGAACACACTCCACCATAACACTCTTCATGGACTGCCATTAGGGTATTTATAAAAGAGTAAGTTTGAAAGTTTCAGAATAAACTCTGTAAACTAAGACTGGCATACTTTGTTCAGAAAGGTTGAGAGCACACTGGAAAATTTTTCCTCTTAAGAAAACATACAAACATCATCGGGAGAGAAAATTAGCAAAGAGGAAATGTTACAAACATTTTTCTTGTGGTTAAATCCCTGCTCTTTTCTATGGATATATGAGGGCATATGCATGACTCAAGCTTGCCATTCAAATATAGTATTTCCTGTAAATTTAATTTTACAGCAAGAGTAATGAAGACACTGGCTGTTAGCAAGGAAAGCAATACACTGGCCACATCAAGTTAGAGGTGATGCTTGTCTCACTGTCATCACTATAGTAGTAGATATTGCCACCTTCCTAGCTGTTCAGCTGAATTGGGATACAAACTGGAAAAAAAAAATGCAACTTGCATTATACATGTTGTATGTAGTGTAGCTGGTTACTTCTCTGATATTTCAGAAACCTAACAGTTCTAGTATTGCAGACAAAAGCATTAACCAGCACAGAATCTGAAAAAAAAAACCAACCTGAAGAACTAGATTTCTCTATTACCTAAGCATATTTACAAACGTACCATCATAAATTCAAAACATTGATTAATCTTGACATCTCTGGTACATGTCAGCAAACCTCTTTACTGAAGTCTTCAGAAAGGTCATGAAAAGGAAAGGCATGGAGCAGTCAGTGTGGGAGTTCATGTTAGCATGCAAGACTGTCTGACATCCAAATGTGATTTTTTTATTCAAAGTAGTAAAGATTATTCTAACAGAACTTTGTAATAAAATAAAATATTACTGAACAAGATATTCTGGGAAGAGCAATGGAAAAATTAATTAAAAAATAGGCACTAAGACTCAAAACACGGCAGACCTAGTTTAAAAGCGAAAACCAACACCCCAACATTATTTTGAGAGAACTACAGGTATTGTGGTTCCACAGTATCTGTTTGTAATTTCTGTATTTTCTTCAGTCAGAGCAAGGACTATGATTAATGCCCTTCTACTGGCCAAAAAAGGGACAGAACGTTACATGGACAGTGGTTTTCAGAAACATGACCAAACATGTGCATTTCCATGTCCATAAGGACAGTGGTCAACCTGGCAGACCTCTGTTATTTACAGGCAGGGAACTTCTCTCTGACTGCTTGGCAATTGTTTCCTTATGAACTACCATTAAAAGCCCAAGAGAATTAGATGCATCATCAAAAGAACTCAATGTTAAATGCAAGACTCCCAAGACATTATCTAAAAAATACCCCAAACCAAAAAACCTGTATACATATGACCCGAAGTATTAAAATTGTCAAGATCTGGTTTGCAAAACAGTCTTTTATTGTATCCGTGCCACACATACTAGTGAAAAATAACACTCCTAAAAAGGGAAAAGAAAAAGAATGCTACCTTTCCACAACATTTCTTTTAAATAAAACTTCAAGTACTCTTACATTAGTACAAAAAAAAAATTCCGATCTATCTGCCCCAACAAGCCACCACAACACACAGTAGATAAAACACAGTGGTTACAAATGTCTTCGTTTGTTATTCTGTGGCAAGGCAAATGGAGGAAATGTTTCTATGAAAAAATACTGTGTGCGTAGGAAATTGTCACAATTTTCTTCCACATGGATACAAATGATTATACTTGGATTTGAGGCTGTGGGGGCTTGAAATTATATAACAAAATAGAAAAATGGAAAACTAATATCCCCTACACCCTGTTTTAAAGGCAGGCACTACCAAGATTAAGGAGACTCCACAGTGTTGGTAGAGGATAATTACTGTACAAGCCATAGAGCTATAATTACCTTAAGACTAAAATAAAATGCTACCATCCTCCTAAGGCATAAACAATAATGTCTGCAAACAATATGTACACATCATACATATTTAAAACAAGACTTAATATAAACAATAATGAACAGTATATACATGTCTCAATTTTTCTTCACCGTCTTGAAATACAATTTAACTACACAAGTGATGCAGCAACATATATATAAATGTACTTGTAACTCTACAGTAAAGTTTAATTTTTAGTGCCTTCATAGCACATCAGTGTAAACAGTTTTACTTGGCTTTGTTTTATATTTTAAAACATTCCTTGTTGTATTTTCAACATTTAAAGCAATTTTCTAGTTCTTCCTTTTCACAGAAAACGAAGATTCTGAATGCTGTATAATCATAAATAATTCATAAAATTAAATACATTCACTAAAAAATAAACTACAAAGTAAAAAAAAAAGAAAAATAGATATTTATTGAAAGGGAAAAGAGAACCATTTCCCCAAGTAGAGCTCTGATGGTTGAATATTCAGTGCGTTTTGAAAATTGCTATTGCACTATAACACCCCTTTCTTTGAAATTCTTTGGGTGTGCTTCCCTGTTCTACCTAAATTAGTTTGTTAAAACACACAAACCAATAACCAAGGGGCCATGGTTGCTGTAGGAGTGAAGCCTTTAAAACTAGTATCACAACTCCGTGGTATTTCGAAGGAAAAAATTAGTTATGTGCCTTGCACTTCCGTGTAAATATAGTTCACATTGCTGGTCTTATCAGTCCTCAATTAATGGAAGGAAAAAAAAAAGAAAAAAAAAAGAGTCCTAGTAGCTTCAGCTCACTTTGAAAATCTCTGTCCATTTTTTTTCAAAATACTTCCTCATGTTGTGGCCAGCCCTGCCTATGTCAGAATCATCTTCATTGAAAGTTTCACAGTTGTCAAAAACAAGCCTGACATCCAGCGAAAATGCTTCAAGATTAGGGTACCTAAAAAAAGATAAAAGTGAATGATTTTTGGAACATAGAGAATCACAGAGGAAAAATATTTCAACTACACGAGAAAATATTTAAGTAAGAATTTAAATTAGAATTTCTAAAAAGAAAATGAACATTTCTAAAAAGAAATGAACCAGTGAAAGGAAATACTCTCTTGTCACTGTTTTGTTATTTTCCTTACAAGTTTTCTAAGGTAGAATTTCATGCCTGTACTCGAAAACAAACTTTTAAAAAACTACTTCCTCCCTCTCTTCAACAGCTTTTTAGCTAAAATGCTATGGCTGTTTTCGATTTATGCATCTATTCTTGTATTCAGGGTCCTTTCAAAATGTTGAACAGAGCTGAATTTATCTAAATGAGGAACAAATGGGTACAAAAAAAGGCTGCCCAAATAATCATGTGACACTGTCTTTGCTAATTATTTTTATTATCCTGAACATACCCCTGAATGGCCCAAAGAATGTTCCAATATTCATAGGAATTATTAAAAATAAGAATAGAAGTTACAAGTCTAGTGATATGAGCACAAGGGGAGCTTTTAAATCTCATATTCATGGAAGAAGTCTAAAGAGGTTAAAAAGCTCCTTGTGCCAGCCTAGGGAAGTTGCTCTGTGTGGAGCTGGCAGACACTGCAGAGGGTCCATCTTCACAGACTCATCAGAGCATAGGGATATTAACAAGGAGGGAAGGTACATAGAGGCATGTCATGTGGTCTTCTCTTTAAGAATCCACGCAGTCTAATTGTAGGACTATAAAATGATTGACCACCATTACAGGAGTGTTACCTACAACAGAGCTGGCATGTCACTTCACAGCCACATCATTTACAGGGAGTCCAGAAGCTTAAAGTCTACACAGCTGGTTCTCTGTGACATGCAATACACTAAGGTGTCTCCATAAAAAAGGTTCCTTTTGATTGTTTTGGTGCATTTGACCTGGCAAAATGTTTTTCAGCCAGTTCCACACATTCCCCCATCCAACATGCTATTTCACTTGGAAATGGCAAAAATAAAAGCATACAATTAAGAATTTTTATTTTGACTGTAACAGTAATCACAGATGTGTCAGAGCAGAACAATATAGTTTGGCTAATTTTAAACATGTATTGCATTTCAGTGTTTAAATATTTTTAAAATGTAAAGTACAATTTACAATAGGTTTACTTACTGTCCACTACTTAGCTTGTCTCTAATGGTAGAAAAGTCCATAGGTTTTTTAATAACTTTCTTATAACCAGGAACAAGTTTCAAGTTTACAGGAAGTAAGAAAGGCCAGGCATCTTCATGAGTTTCCAATTCTGAGAGAATCATACTAAATAAAATAAGGTTTCAAATCAGTATTTTTAATTTTATTTATACATTCACAGTGTTTTCACTATTACATGAATTCCCTATGAACTGACAAACTATTCACTTTACAAAAGGATAACAGTTTATTTCTGCACCCTGTTCAAGGCTGAGAACAATGTACATAGAGAGAGGCAAGTAAGTAACTAATATAGCATTAAGTTCTCTCCAGGTGACCTGTGTGAGATGAAATTCTAATGATCAACATTCCAAAAGAAAACATGGTCCTGCAGCTTTGATCCTCAGTGTAAACCATTTGCAAACCAGCTGCTAATACGGACTTTCCAAGAGTATGACAAGGCTAAACGATGTTCCTTTTGACTGAGCAGCAATACTACCACAGCGGACGGTTCATGGGTGAAAGGTGTCAGTGCCACTGCTACTGGGGCTGGGCTTCACTCCTCTCCCAGAAGACACATGTGTGTAGGTATACACACACACACAATGTGTATAAATATGTACATTTGTCAAAGAATAGCATTCCAGTTTCCCAGAACAGACAGAAAAAGGATCAAGTACTACTTGTTTCAACAAGACTTACTCCTAAATTTAGCATCTGACACTTTACCTGCATATAGCCAGGTCCTTGGAGTCTCCATCTCGCTTAGGTTTCTTAACAGCAGTGCAAGTTTCTTGCTTTAACTGGCTTACACAAACATTTTCATCCATTTTTCTTTTTTTAGGGTCTGTTTTTCCTCTTTTTAAGGCAACGCTTGTAGTTGCAGAGTCTTCATCCTCTGTTTCCCCTCCTAATTTCCTGCTTCTCTTTTGTTCATTACTTTTTTTACCTTTCATTTGAAGTTTTTTTATCTTTAGAGTTTGACCACTTGCCTACAATAGAGACAACTGAAATAAGTAATAACCTAGAAATTACAGAAACCTCTGTTATCAGTGACAAACAGCAATGAAGATTGGAAACAGAAGCACCAAAACAAATTAAATATTTAATATTAAAGATTATTCACTTTTTGCTCTTCTATAAAGGCAAATAAGGCTGCAGAAATTCCTGGTACTCATGACCTAGGCTCTCAATTTGTGACAACACTAAAGCACTTGACATTCAAATTAGTACAACAATACCTCCTAACAACCAAGTTGACATTCTTTTAGATAAACATTAGTCAATTACTAAATGACTGATACAAACATACAAAAAAAAACCTCACTAAGGTTTTACTCTGATTTTTCTTTTGAAACGGAACCTGAGACATCGGTCTGTCAACACTTAATGATGAAATTTCAAAGACAAATACTGAATAAATTTTAAAACAGAAATTAAAAATTATGGTATTGAAAAAGCATGAAAACTCTGGACTTGCTTACATTAAAAAGGCCATAGTTTAGAACAAATAAAACTGTAGCCTTTACTGCCACTAAAATACAAGTTAAAAAAATTACTAATTTCATAATTTAATGGGAGATCCCCCTAAAAAATACAGACCATTATTTTCACTAAAAAAAGCACCAGACCTGTAACTCTACCACATATAATAAACCAGTCACTTGCTCCAGCCCCTTCATCCTGACAGGAGTGTTACCTTTGCTATGCAAGCAGGACAGAACCAGTCCCCATCCGGGATGGTGCTGATCTTGGGTCTGTGGCAGTAGGTGTGACAGCCTTTATCACAACCATCACAAAGGAGCAGCAGTTCCTCGTTATCTCCCTTTCGACAAATTTGGCAGTACTGTAATTGATGAAAAATGGGTTTAATTCAATTTTTGAAATTTGAAACACATAAATGATACCTAAATTACCCTTCTCCTTCAAACACATACATTCACTCTCAAAAATACTTTTATTTTACTTCATGCAGAATCTGCTAATGATCATAGCCACAGGAAAAATATAAGGAGTATATAAGGAACTAATTTAAAGGCTACATTTGGGAAATATGTTGGAAAAGCAATTCATTTATTATAAGACAGGTGTCCTTAGAGCACAAAAAAGATGAGCACTTTCTATAATTCATTACTGTCCATGAGAAGTAAAGGTATACCTATCAAAACCTCTTGGCCCACACATACTATCTCAGAAATCTCTTAATTTATGCCCATATTGTATATGTACATTGCTATTTAATAAAGAAAATTTATATTTTACAAGGGCATTCCCACATAATAATTGGTAAAGATTTTATCCAAGGGCCACCATGAACAAATGCAGTAAAGCAAAACAGATGATCCCAGCACTGCCTAAAATTCACACTAACTTAAAAATATCTAAAGGACTGTCAATTTTCTTAAATACATTGTGTGATTTTGCTAATTACCTTCTTTTTAGACATCTTTTTCATGAACTTAAAAAATCTCCAACCATTTTCACCAAATACGTGATTAAACATATTAAACATAGACCAGTATGTTTAAACATTCAGTATTAAACATACATCAGTATGTTTACTGGTATCACAGAATATTCTGAGTTGGAAGGGATGCATGAGAATCGTCGAGTCCGTCTCTTAAGTGAATGGTCCATACAGGGATTGAATCAGCGACCTTGGCTTTATGAGCACCCTGCTCTAACCAAATGTGTTGTGATTAAATGAAAAGCATATTTAAACCAAACTGAGAGTGATACATTTTTTCCTGAATAACAATGGAATGTTCCAATGCTTTTTCAGGTGCTCCTACCAAATACATAAGCTTTTTGCACTAAATCTACTGCTTAAAACTAACAGCTATATAAACTCAAAAGTACAGCCTGACATTACAGCTTTTATTTAAATCATCCTTTAATTGTCCAGATGTAATTAGAATTTGTATAGATGTGACAGAAATTAAAAAATTAGGAAAAGGACCACAAATGGAAGAATCACTTTTGCCACCCTCTACACAACACTGGTCATACTTGATCACGTCATCGTCACTATTGCTGTAGTAATAAGTTTTGTGTTCAGGAATTCGAGGTTCAGAGGCCCTTGCAAATTCTGACATATCCCCTTTGTGTGCTTTTTTTGTATATGCAGTTGACATAGGCTGACCTGCTGAGTGTACAAGGAAACATATTTCAGCTTGTCTCTTCACACACTTGCCTGATTTATATGTTCAGTTGTGAGAACTCTGCATGCAAAGAAGCTGCATCTCAACTTTCTGAAAAATGAAATCCTTAATGGAGGATATATGATGTTGAACCTCCATAAAACTTGTGTCACAGGTGAGGTTAGAAACACTCCATTAGAAAGAGTATATTTCATCAGATGGAGCAAGATGACTTTTACCTTGATGTCCTCATCAAAGAATAATTACCATCTTAAATATTGTAATAATTTACAAGATCTTTCTCTTAGCAAGTTCGGGATGCTGAATTTGGCAAGCAAGGGACAATCTTTTCCATTACACTTATTCATCTATGCACAATGTACAGTTTAACTTTGTGAGGTTTTATGTGAAGTAATAAGAAATGCATTAACTTAAAATGCCTGAAGTTGGAACACAGGATATAACAAATATAGTTTAGATACTTACAACTTTCATAAT